CAAACACAACCACAAGTACGTTTTTTTTTTAAGTTGGTAATTCCAACTTTAGAATTTGCTTTTCCAACTTTAATCTTAGATTTTCCAACTTTAAAGTTGAATTTTCAAACTAAAGTTGGCATTCCCAACTTGAATCTTAGTTTTCCAACTTTAATCTTGGATTTTCCAACTTTAAAATTGGCTTTACCAACTTTAAAGTTGGTAATTCCAATTTTGAGGTTGGCTTTTCCAACTTCTAAGTTGGCTTTTCCAATTTTAATCTTGGCTTTTCCATTTTTTACGAATCATGTATGTTTTATTCGTATTGTTGCTGGACTTGTGTGTTGTTGTTGTTTATAATTACAATGGAAAGAAATGATTAAATTATGAAATTATGATGAAAGAATGAATAATTTTTATCGTGTTTTCATATACAGAAATGATACATTTCGTACAGTTGTCTTTGTAACAGGAAAAAAAAAAGATCAAAACAAAATATGGTCTCATATGTTTTATAAACTCATTCTCAACAAATTAATGTATGTCTAATCGCTGTGGTTGAAATGCTCTCATTTAAGGAGTTGTATGAAGTTATTCTCTATAAAATCATATAAGATGTGCAAAGAGAGTATAAAGGCATTTGAAGTTGTAAGTAATATGTAAGGTCATAGGGAAGGTCAAGATCAAAAATAATTGACACAGTTTAGTTGCTCATCAATTTGTTTCAATGTATTAAGTTTGCATTAATAAAGTTGATGATAATATTAAATAAAGGAAAGGTTTTGTTTTTGTTTGTTTGTTTATTTCTTTAAGCCAAAGGCTCATCAGATTTGAAACACAATATAGAGCATACAAAATAAAGCATTTATCCAACTGTATGATATACAAAACAAGGATATAGATATCAAATAATAACTAGAAAGTCTGCTATTGCAAGCAATAGCGTATGTCGCCCAGAACTGGCTTTATTAGAAATTGTCTAAAAGTGTTTTATTCTGTTGTCGTTGTTAAAGAAGCTTTTAAAAACACATGGTCCAGTTGGTGGGATTGGAGTACCGACTCTTGGATTGTAGAGGATTTTTTTTGTGCGGAGATAATAGTTTTGACAGGCAGGATTGGTGATTAATAAAAAATTTGATTTCCTCAAAAACCTCTCTTTTGTTTTATTTCTGATTGATGAACATGAAATACATCAGAACACAGATGTTTATACATGTAACTAACACTAATATATCCGGAGAATTGGATTGTATTGAAGAAATAATATCGCTAGTTTTTAGTCACTACTGATACCGGAAATAATTTAACTAATACAAGTGGTTTATATTAAGATGAAGTAATCGTAAATAAGATGATTTACGCAACAGAAAAAGCATCACGGCAGCGGAATATAAACTCATATATTAAGGAAACTTGATTTACAAAAAGTAAATTTTATATCTCTGTTCATCAGTACAGAAATTCGGCGATTAACTAATTGAGTCAAAGGCAAGCACATTTTCATGAAAATTTATTTTGGGTATTTAGTAGATTTAAAGTTGATCAGAGGTTGAATTCGGGTTAAGAGAAATATTTTATGTTGTTGATATTCTGGGTGAGGCGCGCGCGGGCGTGTGTAGGGGGGAGGGTAGTAAAAATGTTCAATAACTTTTTTGACTTTACATTAATAAGTTAACAGAATTTTATTTGAAAACTGCATGTGAAAATTAAGCATTACTCAAGAACCAAAATTATAAGAGAAAAACGACACATCAAAAACATACTTGCTGCATACACTATAAGAAATGTCAAAAATTGTGGTTTTAATATATTTTATGATAGTTGTGCAAGTTCATTTTATTTCTTAAAATAAGGTAGCAATGTTCAATAAATGCATAGCTTGTATAATCATACTGTAAAAAGAAAGAAATGTCGTTTTCTTATAATTTCGTAAAGTATTATCTGTTAATTGGATTTTAAAATACATTGCATCATGTCATGAAATTGGCATCAGAAATAAATGGAAATTTAAATTTATGTTTCTAAATAGACATTTCATTTTTCATCACTAAAGTAATACACATTAGCTAAGCTTGTACAACCATCACCTCGTAGCAGTCTATTCAGTACTTTGATTAAAAGAAACCTGATAGCATACAATGGTCGCGTGACCGCGACTTTTCTTAAATCATTTGTTCCTTACCTGGCGTCAGCGACAAACTTTGAAAAAATAAAATATGATGCACAACTAGGGTTGGTGATTTTTATTTCTGTAAAGTTTCATGAAGATTTTGAAAGCCATCTACGAGAACGCTCGAGTACAAAACTAAGGTGAACCAAAATACGACTTCTTTCCAGTGGCTGAAGCAATGGACCTGCTCCAATTTTTTTGTGGAAAAAACCTTTAAAGTTTCCAAAAGATTGCTTTCGTAGTTACTGAGAAAAATAGAAATTAAAGAATTTTCACTTTTCGTCCGTTTCCATGGCAACGGTAGGGATTTAGAAAATTTGAATGTTGACTGCACACTTAGAGTTTCTAATCATAATTTCTATAAAGATTCATCAAGATTGTCCAGGCGACCTCTGAGAACATATGTGAGCATAATACCTTTTTTTCTGTTTTGTTTCTATGGTAACTGTGTTCGGCCAATTCCAGGGTTTTTTATAAATAGAAATCACTTTGACACAATGCAAGGAATTATCCATTAAAGTTTCAAAGTGATTGCTTGAGCAGTTACTGAGAAAATCAAAGTTTAAGAATTTTCATTTTTCCTTTGTTTCCATGGCAACGATTGACAATTTGAAAATTTTAAATGCGAATCGCACAACAACAGTTACTGATCATCATTTCCACAAAGTTTCATGGTGAATGTTCGAGGGACCAGAGAGAACACTCCTGGACAAAATTCGTCACTTTTCGTACGTTTCCATGGCAACGGTAGCCACGTTGAAGCTGAATTTTTTTTCCACATATATGCAGATGGTCATCATCTTTTATGGAAAGTTCCAACAGCAATGCCCCAGCCATCTGCGAGGAATTCCCCGGACAACGTTTTCATGCGTACTATAGCAATATGTCGCCCGACTTCGTTCGGGGCGACATAATAATGCACTTTCACTGTATATTCAAAACCCACCTCCACATGAACACCTGACCCTGGGGCCACATATTTCACAATTTCTGTAGACGCATCCTTGATCATCATAACCATGCACTTAGTTTATCTGCTAAATACCTAGGAGCAAAGATGAAGATTTTCAAAGGAATAATGCCCTTTCACTATTTTATCAATAGACCCCCCTTCCGCAGAACCCCTATCCCTGGGACCACAAATTTCACACACTTTTGGAGGAGGCATCCTTGATCATCATAACTATAAACTTAGTTTATCTGCTAAATACCTAGGAGCAGAGAAGAAGCTTTTCAAAGAAATAATGCATTTTCACTATATAATCATTAGAGCCCTGCCCTAATACCAGAACCCCTGCCCAAGAGGCCAAGATATTCACAATTTTGAAAGAATTTTAAGCGCCTTTGCTCATCATAGATCATAACTATAAACTTGGTTTATTTGCTAAATACCTAAAAGCAGAGAAGACGATTATTTAAAGAAATAATGCAGTTTCACTAAATAATCAATAGAGACCCACGGCCGCCGGGCCCCATTCAGCAGAACCCTCACACTGGGGCCGCAAATTTCGAGTTTGAAAGAGGCATCATTGATCAACATAACCATACACCTAGTTTATCTGCTTTATATACAGGGGGAGAGAAGAAGATTTTAAAGAATTTATGCATTTTGACTATGATCATTAGAGCCCATCCTAACTCCAGAGCCCCTGACCCTGGTGCCATGAATTTTATAATTTTGGTAGAAGGCTCAATGCGTATTACAATCATGCCAACAGTTTGACTACTTGATGTCCAGGAGTAAAGAAGAAGATTTTCAAAGATTGCACTCATTTTGATTGTTTTGGCCCCATGGCTACCCCAAAAGCCCAAGGGGGGCAGGGACCATGAGATTCACAATTTTGTTCTCCTTCACTCTTAGATGTTCTATGCCAAAATCGGTTGAAATTGGTTGAGCGGTTCCAGAGAAGAAGCTAAAAATGTTCAAATGTTAACGGACGACGCACGACGAAAGACCAAAACGGATAGCAATTATAGGCCACCTGAGTGACTCAGGTGACCTTATAAAGGAAAAGTTACGGAAAAGGTTCTAAAAGCTCAAATTAAGTAAGAAAAACGAAGATTAAAGTAGGAAAAGTCATCTTAAAAGTTGGATTTACCAACTTTTAAATTGGAAAAACCAAGACTATAATTGGAATTACCAACTTTCAAGTTGGAAAAACCAAGATTTAAGTTGGAAAATGCGAGATAAAAGTTGAAATTATGAACTTAAAAAAATATTACGTGGCACCAATACGTACGCTTTTGTAGTACATAGTATTTAATAGCAAATAATTTCTTGAAAAACAGACTATAGGAACTCTACCGTTACCATACTTTGTCCTGTGACATACGATTTTAAATATATAACCCTCTTTTACTAAAGAAACATTTGTAAATATGGTTTTAAAGCATTTTCCAACATATTTTTTTTACTGATGCGGAATAGGGGTTTTCGTCAGTCTCATTTATTACAGTCGGAATAACAGTTACTATTGTCCTTTTTTTAATTCATTTTTTTTTACATATCAAGCAGTAAAAAATGTTAAAATTGTTTCTCCAGGTTATTTACTGTAATTGTAATTTGAACTTTTGGAAACTCTAGATAAACATTGAATAAGCAGCTTGGGATTGACATTTGAAATCAAAATTGAAGAACAATACTGAATAATCTAAGGTTAGAATTTTTATTATGTGTTCTTTAAAGAATGAGTTATAAAGACCAAACAAAAAAAAAATACACAGGAAATAATGAGTGTGCATTTTTACTTCTTTTAATTACACGTACACCATGTAGATAGGATCAAGATTTAAGTAGTTGATTTTTTGTAATAATTCACTGATATACATGTACAGCTTGATTTCATAGAAACTATGTAAAAAGTGTGTATCCTCTTCTTAAACCTAAGTTTTCTGGTGTATCCAGTGTCATAAAGCGATCGATTTTTTGCCGAATCCTTTCAAATTTTTGGAGTTCAATGGCAACTCTTTGTTTCGCTCGAAGTTCGTCCTCATCGATAAATTCGGCACTGGCATGAGGATCAAATCGCCTGTGAGACACCCCTAGGATATTTCCAGACTGACGTGGGTTAAATTTAGGAAGCTGTAAGGGCATGGGTCTGGGAATGGTTGCAATCGAATGCCTCTTTCGAGAAGGTTGCTGACCTGATGGTCGAGCAATTCCTGAGGAGACTGAATTCCGTTTTTGCATGTGACTTCGAGGTTTTGAACTCACAGATTCTCTTTTTTCTAAACTCGTATGATGTCTTTGAAGAGATGGGTTGAACTGCAAACTCTGAGATCTTTCAGATCTAGAGGGCAGTTTTACTTCAAAGTCAGTTTCGAAAACATCTTCTATTTCCGCTTCTTCGTATATAGTGGGATCGGTTGATTCATTGGTCACACTAAGCAAGGGAGCAGATTGTGATTTGTGGAATGCAGAAGGTTCTTTGGAATCTGAAGTTCGACGCATCGGTAAAGTGTTCATATCCAGTTCTGGCATCGACTCTCTTCGACGCTTTTCGAGTTTGCGTTTTAATAAAGCACAGGTCCCATCGGTGTGCTGATCAGTTTCATAACGACGTTCGTGCATCTCTTTAAACATTTTTGACAAAGACAGTCTTGGTCTGTTCATGTCAATTTTCTTCTGAAAAGACATGTTCTCCCTCATTTTCTTCACAGAACGTGCCAGCTTGGTAATCCTATGAAGATCCGGCTCCTCGTTTCTGTGTTCATTCTCCTCTATTCGTTGTAATGGAAAAAGTGATGGTATTTTAGCCTTTTTCTCGTCCTTCTTTGAAATAGCCAAAAGTATAGACGGAATGACCTCCGACATTCTTCTGTATTCCCCTAACAGGTAGGAATTCACATTGTCTGAATCTTTTCCTTCTGGTAATGATGTTCCTCTTTGAAATTTCGGTTTTTCCACAGTTCCTATTTTCCTTTGAGGCAAGCGTGAAGCTGGAGGATTTTGTGGAGACACAAGAGGTGGTATAGAATCAACTGGAATTTGCCGTCTTCTGCTTTCCTTCCACTCATCCCTTACTTTGATACGTTCCTTCTCCAACTGCATTTCACGCGTGCGCGACCGAATGTGGATATTATCTAATCTCTCCTGGAGCAGTTGATCTTCTTTGTGATTAACTAACAGCATTTTCTCCAGGTATTTTGGAGGTCTCCTCTTTTTCTTGATTGGGTCTGACATCTTTCTGTAAATTCTCAATCTTCAAACACTCTCTGAAACATCATGTAAAAGTTCATCATTTATTAAGAAGAAATGAAACATTCAAAATTTTGCTTGAGTGCCTTAACTCAATTTTTAGGATTGGCTTTTATTTCTTCACAAGAAACATACAAGGCCATCAAAGATGTAAGTCTGGAAAATTATTCCTCTCTATATATAGTCCTGATCTGACTAGAATTACTTTAAAAAATTTCGGGTTATCACATAACTCTAAACTATTGTTCCGTGATAACTTGTTTCTTTATGTTCCAATCAGTATGAATCACAATGCTTTTAATAAATTGACGAAACTGAAAACAGCAAAACCAAACACCTGAAGTTTTTATCAAACTTACGAGTTTTCAATCGACAAGGTTTCCTGAGAAGGAAAAGCAGACTTTATAAAAGTCAGTTTTTTCTTTGACTTTACAAAAAAAACTTAAATGACTCATAAATAAGTATATTCTATTGATTTTTTTAAGGTAATTTGTTCAGAGAATTCTCACGAAATGTAGATTGCCTCCTAAACCATCGTCAAGATCAGAAAAAGAAATGAGCAAACTGTTAACATATTGCAATTCGCCTCATACTAGTAATTGATTCATGATCCAGGATTTACTAATCTATTTATTTACATTTTATTTTAAAAGTATGTTTAAAATCCTTCGATCAGTCTTTAAACATTCTTTTACAGAGAAACAGATGTACAGATAAAGATCGATTAAGGCATTAATGTAATAATTCAATCATTATATTTAAATGCAATTGCATGTATTATAAGATTTAAACTAAAATTCTCGTTCTCTGGTGAAGATTCTATTTGTTGTAAAAATATTAGAATTGTATTCTTTTTAATTCTTTTTAATTTAAAAACAAATATACAATTAGGTAAGTAGGTTCAATTAATAGTGAATAAAAATTTTCAAAAAAAAAAAAAAAAAAGAATTGGATCATTAGTTTTAACCAATATACTCACATTTTTTACGATGATCCGAGATAAACTAAATGAAATGGAAGAAGTCAAACATGAAGAACTCAGAAAAGTTCTTGAATAAGTGAAGGACATACAAGTCAAACTGATTTCTAGTTTTAAACCTTTCTGAAAAAGGTCAGTTTCCTTTCTTTCAAGTTTAAGAAGGTAACTTTATTGAGGCCACAGTTATTGGGTCTAGGCTCATAAATTACTCTCTGTATTAGATATGATTGCTTCAGGGTAAATATTTCGTGACATATTTCCCTCTTTATATCTTTTAAGAGTCAATAATATGTTTGAAATATTTTAAATATACCTGGACAAATCAAAAGTGTAAATAATGGTCAAATTTTATCCAGAATTTTGATTTAGAAGCTTGTAAGTTGCGATATTTAACAATGCGTTTAAGTCTACATAATGTATTTTGTCTCTTTGAAATCCTAAAATTCCTTTCTTATATTTATATAAGCTTTTCCTAAAGTAACTTCTAAAGCATAAATGGGGAAAATATCTGGTCAGAAATATGCATAACCACATTATGAGTATACAATATATGATACCTTAATAAATTCTTCAAGATAAGGTGAAATTTATACATGTATAACCTAGTGAAAATTCTTCAATATAAGATGATCTCTTTTTTTAGAATGTGAAATAAATAAGATTTATCAAAATATGATGATAAACCCACCTGTATCAACGAGGGTTGCAGATTTTTATCCTGGTATATTTGTTGCAAGCGGTGGCATCAAAATTCACACATTATACGTATGAAGTAGTCAATAGTCTTTCTTCTGGCGAACATAGCTTATCTGGCACCGGGGTCCAAAAGTGATTGGGCGGTTAACTAAAGAAAGGCTTCATTACAAACTCATTTACAAAACGACAAACTGGGAGATTTTCATTTTCAGAGCTGACATTACAAATCGAGATATGTCATTGTTTCGCTAGACCATTATTTACCTTGGTAGAGTGTTTTTGTAAATTTTAAATTCCGCCCCAGATAACGAAATCGTACAATTACACAGAACACCCTTTGACTTTATTTACGAAGTTTTCCATTCGGGAGAAGTTAAATACAGTTGTGTATTGATTTCAATAATTTAAACCCACCCTTTCATCTTTTCAATTTTATCTGTTAACTGTTTCTTTGCCTGCAATGAATCTGGGCACTAATCAGACTCATTATTTGTTATAATCTTGAAATATTATATAAATTGGCCTATGTAACGAACCGTATCCAGCGCCACTAAGCTGCATGGTTATTGTACCTTATAATTTTCCACTGATCCACTCCATCCAATGGTTTTGTTCTATTTAGATAACCACCGACGATCGACACAAGTGTGGGGAACTCCTGAGGCCCGAGGGTTCAATTTTTTTTTCATAGTGCCGCGTCAAAGACTATGAAGACGGTCTACTTGTATTTTTTTAATGAGCAGGATAATACAATTATACGTATATAGAGTAAAAGTTGATTTTGCAAAGCAATACAGTCACTGGCTTAGTTTAATTTTGAATAAAGAGATACGTTGCTTTCTACACAGTAGCACCAGTTTCTTTCTCCAATATTGCTTCTCTCTAATATTACTTCTCATTCTTGAAATATGGAGATAACAAACAGTATTCAAACTCAAAGTCCATTAAAACTATACAAATCGGAAGCAGAGCAAACACGGGCCTCCAAAAACAACAGAGGTGGGATCAGGCGCCATGGAGAAGTGAGCATCCCCGCTGTGTGCTCCTTGTCATGATCGGTAAATAACGGAAAAATCCGTGGACAATTCAGTGTGTAAACAAATGGCCTAACAATTAGTATGAAAAACGTCAGTCAGCATATGATTTAATGATAGATTGCATTGCTGACAGGGTCATTGTATCGACCATAGAACTTACGAAATGATTACTTTAAACGACGGTGTTGATATTCTTGTTTCATCAACTTGTTTGTCAATTACTTACCTCGTTTTAGAAATTGTTCATGCGTAGAGCATGCTCTTGCGTATCGAATCAAGTGAGAGATATACACCCCATGTGCAGGTGATAAGGGTATATTGCTGCATAAGTAAGGGAAGTTGACGACTGAAAAGTTAAAGTCATCACGTTTATCATTAAGCTTTGTTGTAAGATTACCATTAACGTCTTCTTTCCTTTCATTTAATTAACTTATATATTGAGGTCGCCCGCGTGGCGCAATGGTTAGAGCGTCTGTTCTAGAGTCGCGGAGTAAGGAGTGGACACCGTTCCTTCGGATTAGATTGTATAAACCGAGGTCCCTTGACGCAGTAGGTGTTGGCACGAAAAAAATCCCCGGCTCACTGCTCAATGGCCCTGAGTGCCGAGTATAGGTATACATTTGCAGTCCTTTACCGGCAAGTGGTGTATTCTCTATATGAGTGAAAAATTCTCGAGAGGGACGTTAAACAACAAGCAAACAAACAAACATATATTGGGGTTCTTTTTTATTTGTTTGTTTGGTGTTTTTTTTTTTTACATCTTTTATTGGTCATACAAAACTAGACTGTCTGGTATACATATAAACCAAGTTCATTTAAGAAACTACAAGAATGGTATCAGGTATCAATTATCTGTCTTGGACAATTAATTAGTTTATCATGACATCAAAGCTTCATGTGTATATCATATACGAGAACGTTATTCTTGAAATATTTAAACTTTAGTGAGATTGGAAGGTAGTTATTTAAATTCATGAAAAGTATGAACTCCTTGCTTTATAACAATTGATATGTTTAGTTTAGCTCTTTTATGGAACTTCTTTTACTTTTTCGTAGTTCTGATTTCACTAAAATGACGTCATTGTGATAAGTACATGTAAATAACAGCATGGTTTTAGAAAAAAAAAAGAATTTGTTAATTATATATTTGAATGAGACAATTAGTTGTCGTTTACAAATTCTTGTTTACCAAAATCTTAATTTATCAAAGGAGAACAGCACACCCCTGTATATGTATTCCAGAAGAATCACATAATGTGTTGGTGAAAGGGCTGAAAATCCATAGCTGGTAATCCATCAACGTGATGTGAGGAAGTTAATACCATCTGTGACATCTTTCAATGTGTAAGTTCAAAGACCCATAAATATATGTATTATTGTAATATATTGATGGATTTCCATCTGAATAAGAAAAGCTGAAAACTGTTGTAATGCATAATTTAGGAGTTGCTTTAGGTCAATGTATAGCTAAAGCAAATGACAAACATCTAACAAGATCGAGTTTTTTTTCTGATGAAATATTAAGAATTGAGTATGCTGACAACTCATTTGTTTACAAATTTTATTTACAGTGGAGAATATCTACATGCCTTTATTGTAATGACTTGCAGAATAATTTTGTGAAAAATATGTTAAAATGCAACAAAACACTGTGAAATATAATTTGTAATAAATTACAGATTGTAACCTGATGTTATGTCTTATTTGCAAAAAGTACTATTATATGGCAACATGCTATTTATTTATGTCAACATATGAACATGAAACATATTAATGTCGACATGCAACCGCAAGATGTTGACATGTATACATCTTTATTGAATAACTGTAAGCCATATAGCACGTCAGTATAAGCAAAATAAACATATGTAATTATAAACGGTAAGAGCTTGGAACTTAAGTAAGCTGACATGGGATTTAAATGTGTAGATAACTTAACAACTCTCCTGTTATGCAAGATAGAATGTGAAAATCTTAAATTATGTAGACCTGCAGTTAATCAAATTTATATTATTAAAACGACGTGAAATGCAACAGTCTAGATATTTCTCATAGTCATCCTTTGCTTCATTTTTCAATGTCTATGGATTTCTAAACACATATAGTTCCTTTACTTTACGAAATAATCTACATTACTATTTGCAAGTGAACAAACTATTACGTTTCCTAGCTAAAAGCCAGCAACATTTTCAAACCATGTTTTACAGAAATAAGCTGCATTCTAATTTCCTAAATAAGTTGCATAATGCATAAATAAATTGCATGTTAACAATTGTCTCGGATGTTAACATAATTAAGTTGCATCTGTCACAACTGGGCACAAATTCGTCAAATGTATTATATACTACATAATGTTATGGTTCATCTTAATAAATAAGTATTTTACAAATTGCAGAAAAAGTAATTAATTTGAGAAATAATTTGCAGAAAGGTTACATTCATAATTGTGTGCAGATGTGTTCGACTATAGGCTCTTTGGTTTAGATACTAGTAATTTTCGAGGATATTTGCATGTTCAACAAAAGTACAAAATAAAAAAAAATGATTTAATTTTCTCTAAAAAAAAAAATCGACACAACTTTTCAAAGGTAATCATAAATATTATATCATATGTACCTTTACTAAGGCGCACTTGCAATGAACTACCTATGATTTTGATGAGCAACCCGCTTTGTGGATTGACAAAAATTATCTTTGATCCTCTACTTCCAAATCAATTAGCCTGTCTCCGTAATTCTAATAGAGATCTTTTTGTCAACAAAGATTCCATGAAGTGATGATCACAGCTGGCGGATCCAAACAATTGTCCGAAGATCACGTTACGCTCTATGAATACAATGAAAAGTCAGCTGTTATACATGATCAATAACCATGGGGTCGGTTTGTCCCATTTTATAGGATTAAAAAATACATTCGGGAGATTGTATTGAGAAAATGATCGAATCGAAGTTTATCCTAGGCGTTGACTAAATTGATATTGTGTGCCAGAGATGGAGGTGCGATATGGTATGTATTATTAAATTTTGTTTTTATACTTATTGAGAGTAGATTAAATAAATATATCTGATATAAATTTTATTTTTCAAATAGTGAATCCTTATATTCTAATGTAAATAATTTTATTTTAAGTGTGCAGTAGTCCTATTTTGTGTTAATTTTTCTTTCCAAGCTCATTGATTTTTCATTCAATGAAATTGAAAGGTAATTTTTTGACCATATGCATGTTTGCTTCATTGAAAAAAGAAACGTCGAAAAATTTGAAAAGGATATACTCTGGACAATAAAAAGTTTTGAGAATATTGCATTTTTCTTTTTAAGATTTTCTTTAATCATAATAAATAAAGTACATTGTATCACGTACTTCGAAGAAAGATAAGTCTAGTTACTGTACATGGATTAATTAAAATTAGCTGACTTGAAGCGGGTCGATGGACTATTTCATTGGTTATTGCTGTTATTGAAATAATTTCCATTCTTGTTCTTGCAGTCAACAAGACGTTCTCTGAGGATTGCTGTACTTACTGTCGGTCCCATCCTGTTGCTTGTTGATGTATTTATGTTGCATAGTGAGTAAGAAAAAGTATAGGAAAACAATGTATATTCTTAGGAAAAAAAAATAAAAGGGAGCAATATTCAAAACTTTTAGAATTGTAATAATTTTATGAGAATCTAGATCTTGTATTTATTGATTAGTTCAACTCATTTATATTAATCCTTGAAAATATAGTATCCATAATCTTTCTAACAGAAATATTTCCTCTGCAAGATTGACCAAAGGATTGCACATACATGTACCTACATGTATTAGAATTGACACACCTGAACCCCTCTGGCCTTGCACATATCCAATCTTTTGCTATCCACCTGCAACAGCATAGCTATGGCAACCAATTACTTTGCCACTGATCTGGTCCCAATGATTTTTTTTCGGTCTTCTGGTGCATTTTCAGCTTTCTGATCAGGGTTCACACATGCATTTCAACTTCTAGCCAGGACCTGAAAACTACTGAATGCACTTGTGGTTATTCCTAATGCTCGAAACACCACCCCCACCACACCAATCAAAAAAAGTTTAGTTATGAGTGATTTAAAAAATAGTGGCCGGGATATTGTCATTTTTCGAAAAAATCAATTTGCCTTAAAATGTTTTTCAATTATAACATCATACAGTATATACATTCTAGTTAAAATTTCTGAAGTGACAATAAAATTGACTTTCTGAAATACATTATCAAAGGAAATTGTAGGGGTTTTTTTATCTTTCTGACTTGTGTTAGGAATATTAATGATTAGATCTAAACTTTAATTGAGTTTCTTCTCTTTTAAATGCAAAAACAAATTGGCTTTTTGGTTGTTATTTAACATTAATTGTCTCAATTCTGGTAGAATTTTTTTTTTATAGAAAAGAAACATGATGCAATAAATTTTTCAATAATCACTTTTTTGTAAATTTAGTCAATTCTTCAAATGAAATATGAAGATAACGAAGAGAATTCAAGCCCAAGTCAAAGAAGAAGTATGATGAACTAAGTTTTCGTATAAAACATACTAGATTTTAAAGCTATCATATTTTATCTTATTTTGTTGCACTCCTGATATCAACTACGTTTTTCATTAAACATTGTTTTAAAAATGTGAGACTTTAAAGTAGAATTGTGAAGCACAAATTATCCGGCCCAGAACATGTTCCCATGATTAGGTAAAGTCGTGGTGGAATTATCTGTATTTTTTTTTTCAAATTTCTTCAAAAATTAGAAGAAAAAGAAAAAAAAAACACATTTGGATCGATAAAATTGAAAAAGTGACAGACTTCAATGATAATACTATCATTAATTTAGTATTCAATTATTCAATTAGATGCTTATTGATCAAATAATACTTTTCGCATGAATAAAAGTCATTTCATCATTGAACTTCAATCTTTATGAAAATGTGTTGCACTCCTGACAGTGGAAACATATATCTGACACAGACAGATCCTGTAATAGATGTATTTGGTGAAAATGTTTCTTGTGTCTTTAATTTAAAAAAAACGAAAAAATATAGACTGATAAAAAGTTAGGGAGCAAAACATCAAATGTTGCACTCCTGGCATAAATGGGTATGCACAAATACTTGACTCGCATTTATGCTGCTTGTAATACATACAACATTTTAAACATTTTAATGGTTAAGTTATTAGTCCCCTAGTGAAACCGGAGGGGACTATAGGTTTCCTCTGAGTCTGTCTGTCCGTCTAGCTGTCCCTCTGTCTGTCTATCAGTCTGTCCCACTTGGTTTTCCGCAACTTTTTCCTAAACGTTTGCAGATATTGAGCTGATTTTTGGTATGGTGTATCTTGATGAACTACAGATCAAGTTCGCATTTCATTCCGCTTCATTGATATTTGACGGAATTACGACCTTTTCAATTTTTAAGGGTTTTCCGCAATTTTTTTCCTAAATGTTTTCAGATATTGAGCTGATTTTTAGTATGTGACTTTACTTTGATAAGTTATATATCAAGTTTGCATTTCGTTCCGCTTCATTGATTTTTGACGGAATTATGGCATTTTCAATTTTTAACAGGAACCAGATTACACTTGCCGGTAGGGGACTAATATTGCTAATGCAATACTCTCAGAATGCTTGTTGGTTTACACTTTGACAATTTTTTTTTTTTGACTTACATGTCGTACAATTTTTTTTTTTAAATCAATGATTTTTTTTTATCATCATTACACTTTTTCTGTTCCACTCCTGACATGGTATAACATTTTTTTTCAGCATCAGCCGTGACCATAACTTACTTGGTCAAGCAAAAGTTACTATAGTCTAAATTTAAAGGTCAATTTATTGAATTTTATCAGGAAAACTTTGTTTCTAATTGAAATGATTATTATTTTTTAACAGATTTTCAAAAAATATGAAATTTTCAAAATGTCACAAAAAGTTGTTGCATTCTTGATATTTTTAGCAAAATTTTTGGGCATAACTATTTTTGTTTCTTTAGAAATCAATGAGATGTTTGACAGACATTTAGCCAGTATCGAAAGACACATGCTGAGCAATAAAGATTATTGAAATAGCCTAATATTTTAGTGCAGGTTGATTATTATGTGTTCGGTCTTTTTTTTCATTTTACCCTTATACGAAAAAAACGACAAACTAATAATTATTAGAACATAAATGACTTCATGGTTGTGTTGCTTCAATTTCCTTTGAAGAATCATTCCTACTTTTGTGAAAGAAAAACAACAAGATTATAATTTTACAATTGTCTTCTGTAAATATATCAAAAGAAAACAAGTTAACCATTGTTTTTGGTTTTTGAAGAATGCTTTTGCCTTGAAGTTCTTAATTTTTTGCAGATTCGAAGAAGCATCGAATGGTGGACCCAGGGCTTATCTCAACTGAGTATAGAGAACAGATTTCCAAGAAAAATTCTCTACTTACAACCGACATACACCCCATCATAATACTCTCCACCTTTAGAAGTGGGTCCTCTCTAACCGGAGACATACTCCAACAGGACAAAGATTCCTTCTATTTGTACGAACCACTGAATCCCCTAAACTACCTTATGTACCAAAACATCACAACTTTACATCTTGTGAACGGATCAGTTCAGTAAGTCTTAAATTCCACTACATGTTTAAGGTAGTTAGAAAAATACAGTATTTTCTAAATTCTAAATTAAAATTTAAAATGGGTAAGGGGTCTTCGAATTTAGAAATATCAGTCGAACCGATGAAAAAGAAACTAGATTTTTTAAAAAGGAAACAATCAAGTAACACATCAAAGATATAAAGAATTAGGATGTTTCCATACACTCATTGTAAAAATGGAATGAATATGAGTATAAACAATAATGACAAACATTATCGTTGTTGGAAAAGTGAGGGATCTTTCTGAAGAAATAAGTAACAAAAGTTTCCTTTCAAGGTCAATCTTTTATATTTCAATGTATTATATTGAATAAATATCTTCTGTTTTCCACATAGACCCATTGGGATACATGACTTCAACAAAGTTTCTGCTAACATCCTGCTGTCCTTGATCACATGTGACTTCACCAGCCTTGATGTGAACACCGTTAGTCATGGATTTCTTTACTACAGTAACAGAAGTGTTCCTTACATTACATGTGTTGATAGAAATAAACGCAGGACAACTTTGTTGTCTGCTATCAGAAAATGTCTACCCATTTTGATAGAGGCATGTGAACAATCCACTCACAGAATTTTCAAGATTGTTCGTTTGTCAATGGATTGGATGGAAAGGTTGCTGGAAAAATTTCCCAAATTAGTAGTTGTTCACCTAATTAGAGATCCGCGCCCGATCCAGGTCTCAAGAGGTAATTTATCGAATGTCACACCAAATTACTGCAGAATAAGAGAGACAACTCAACCATCCTATATATTATTTTAAAAAGTATTTAATTTTTTGACGTTTTGTTTTCTTTGCAGATAACCTGGGTGCTAACATATTTAAAGATCTTAGGAAAAGTTTTCAAGAGCTTTGTGACCTTCTGTCCTGGAATTTATTTTTCGAAAGCAAACTGAACAATACGTACAACAGAATCGTCAGACTTTATTACGAGGACCTAGCACTATATCCTTTCAGAACATCAAAGTGGTTGTATAACATTCTGGGACTACACTACACATCGGATGTCCACGCCTATGTACACCATTTAACAAGAGCAGGAATCCAGAATGACTGTTCAACCTGCGCAATAAGAGCAAACTCGTCTGCGCATGCCTACTCATGGAGGGGATTTTTCAATGCAAGTCAATTGAACACTATCCAAGATGTATGTGGAAACTACATGAAGGCAGTTGGCTACATTAATTCATAAAAAGCATAATAAGAAATTCTAATATATATATATATATATATATATATATATATATATATATATATATATATATATATATATATATATATATATATATATATATATATATATATATATATATATATATACCTTCACTTGCCAGCCAAGCGTAACATTCACGATGGATAAAAGAGCTTTTAATATTTTGAATTGTAAATCTTATTGCATATACCTTGTGTACATGTATACAAACAGTGTGTGCTCGAGGAATATTTACAATATCAACGTGTATGCAAATACATGCACTTGGTAAATAAGACAAGAAAATATTTCGCAAATAATTCTGCGCAGCAGATCTACATATAGCTGGGGATCTGGGGGTCCGGAGCTCCCCTGGGATTTTCAGAGTTCAAATTTGAATAGTAAAGTAAGAAAATGTGCCCCCCCCCCCCCCCGCCTGAAGAAAACGCGGACTCCTGGTAAAAGGGTAAGGAGAATCATATTATAATGGATATGGACCGGTCCCCTGTGAAAAAATCCTGAATCCTAGTATGAGGATCTGTCTGTTATCTTTGAAATGCTTACAGTATTTATAACACTATGAATTACAATTCAAATAATGATAGTGAGAATTTTCTTCAAACATTATACACTGAACAGTCCCGTAGGAAGAAATTTCAATGGAGAGGAGCACAACCTAATAGAACTCTTGACCAGCCCAAAGAGGTCACCTGAAGTTGTTTTGAAGAGACACAACTGTAAATTTAATTGTAGTTTAGCTTTATTTTCTATTGTACAGTATATACTGGCAAAATTATTGAGAGGCACAATTGTAATATAGCTTTATTTTTTCTTAGATAAAGTAAAAAGTGGCAACATTATTGGGAGGGGTTGGGTTAGGGAGGGGTGCCGCCAAAACAATCAATAATAATATTTCCTTCACTGGAAAAAATCAATACTCATTGCAAAATGATGATGCCAGACACCTCTGATAAATGACTGCGTCTCTTATTTCCACACCAGTGGATTGTCCCCCGCTGATGTCTCAATGCTCATTTCACATTTTGTTATTGATACTCAGATAAAGTTTTTTTTTTTTTCAGAGAAGGTGAAGTAGAGGTTTGTTTTTTTTTTAAATAGTCTGAGTTGACAATTGTGTAAGCTTTTAAATCAAGTTTGACATATTGCAGTGAATCAAACCGACTTAATGGATCTATAGCTATTGTATAAAATCTGACTATTTACGATGAATGTGGTATTAATTACATGTATACAGTGGCATTTCCTATGTACACTTGTGTATTTATATTTGTTTCTCTCTTTATTACATTATATAACATTCTTCATTAAATATAAAACAACGCATCGGTTGGCCATTTCTTATTTGTATACAAAGTACCCTGGCAAGGCATTCACATTTCTGTAAATCTTACCTGTCCTTTGGATAATGAAAGAAACCTAGGGTAACATTTAAAACATCTTTGTGATACATGTGACCTGTAATCTGTAACTCTTCTGAATTAAAAACACTCTGGTAAGATAATCTTAGCAGATATTTTATTATGGATTGTTTGAATTCTGTACCGTTTCAGCACATATTTTACAGATTTTTAACTTAAGCCTAAGATGTTTTATGATCTTGAAATCTGCTTAGTAAACTATCTAAATGACAGGTTGAAGGAAATCCATAATTTTATGGTATGTTGTAAGTTTGCGTGTCTACACGTTAAATTATCAGCTCTACACAGATCTATCAGTATTGCATGGTTTAGGGAATTGGCTAAAGTAGTGTTAAGGGGTTTTAAATGCACTTTCAGATTGATGTTTGGTGCTATGAATGAATTTTATGTGTATTACACTTTACGGAAATTCAGATGCAGAAATACGGAAAATATTAAATTTGAACATGATTTAAAAAATGAGGAAAAAATAAAATTGACTTTTTAAATTAAAAAAAACAAAGACCATAAGTGTTTTAAAAGATTTCTCTCTAAAAATTTGATTGTTCAAAGCAGAAATTTTAGTTCTTTTGGATACAGATGGACGGTGTTCAAAATTTTGCTGTACTTTAATGTCAGCTTATTATAGAAGTCTTTATAATTAAAATTGATTGGACATAAACATTATTGCACCTCTTCTTTATCAATGTACGAGGACTTTTACTGCCCAAGGAAACAAAAAAAATTGTTATATAGTTTTAGCAACAGTGAACCCTTTCAAAATGTCTTGGGGGCAATGCGTATTAATGCTTCTTGAAAGCCAAGAGTAGAAGGAATATTCTGTACCACAATGGAATATTTATACTTTTTTTTAAAGATACCTAAGTTTTAAATTTTATTTGAAGCTAGAAAATTATTAAATGTGATAGCTTTAATCTGCATGAAGATTATTTCAAGATATATTTTAATGTATGCTTGCTATTGCATCTTCAATTTTTAAGGGGTAGCAAGAGAGAGAGAGAGAGAGAAGAAAAGCATGTTTTAATCGGAATTTTGTACATACCAATGTGTAATTAATGTCCAATACATACGGCTTTATTTGGAATAAGGTCATTTAATATCCGTGTAAGTAAGTCATTGACCAATTTTACATAGATGTCGCAACTCTGGATGCATTGCACGAAAAGATCAAATTCCATCTGTGTATTTCAAGTATTTCTGAGGTCAGTCTTATTTTTTTAATTGATAAAATATTATTCATATGTAAATAGCTCTGGCTTACATTTAGTTAAGTAAATTGGCAAGTAAACCCCTGCCCAATCCACTGTATCTGAATGTCGAACTCCATTTTTAGATATTGTTGTGAGCGATTTTAATGTATTTTTTCAACCATTTTGTAATTTTAGGTGATTGCCCTAGCGCTTAAACAATTCACCTTTAAAAGAATATTTTCTATTTTTGTTTAGCTACTCTCTTTGAGAGAAATTAGTACAGTCCTATAAAATTGGCCCTCTGAACTCTTTTTAATCTGTAAGAATTTAAATTTCTCAATAAAAATTATCTGCTCAGTAAAGTGTGATACGAGGTATTCTACTGATATACGTATACGGTGAACATACGGGAATAGGATCCACAATTTAAAATTGGCCCTCTGAACTCTTTTTAATCTGTAAGAATTTAAATTTCTCAGTAAAAATTATCTGCTCAGTAAAGTGTGATACGAGGTATTCTGCTGATATACGTATACGGTGAACGTACGGGAATAGGATCCACAATTTCCAAGGTACACCAGAAAAGGAACGCCTACTGTTAAAACTAAGGCATTGACACCAGATTAATCCCACATCGTAGTGGACGGTTTCCAACTGACGATCTATGCCGCCATTTTGTTTGGAAACGTTTGAGTGGTGTTACTGTATAAATTCCTTCTGTTTGATCTATGAACACTGTCCACATATCTGTTAAAGACCTTTAAATGGCTTTGGTTTTGTTAGGCAAAGACAACAAGGATTTCCTCAGCTTCATTTGTAATATCTGTCTTTAGTCTCTAGTTTATTATTTTTACTTTCCCAAATATACATATTTTTTTTTATTATTCGTTAAGAAGTCTTCGCTTTAAGTAAGGCGATGCACGTTGCACATTATCTCCGTTTTTGCAAGGAGTCCAAGATGCACAACATGCTTCAGATATTGCATTTTTGAGCCCCTTTATAGTCGGCCTGTTTTATATTCCTATGAATCGAATTGGAATTTATTCAGAAACTTCTTTATGAGAAGGAGGTCGTTATTTTTTTCTGATATGTTGGATTAATGATGTGATCAACATTTGAATTACCGTACCTATACTAGTTTCCTAAACTACATAAAAATTCTTACAATTCAAACAAAGATAAATAGCGGGTTATAGGAAATGTTCTAACAAGCCTCTTTTTTATTTCTTACCAAAATAACAATATATTCGAGAATTTGTGTTTATCAGTTGGGATACTTAAAAACTCCGGGGAAATTCTCGAAAATTTGAAATAAAAATTTTTCCGAAAATCAATAGCATCAAAACGTACGACTTTTCAACACTTTATCCAACCATTCCCCATGATAAACCGAAGTCCATGCTTTTTGACATTATAGAAAACAATTTTTAAATAAAAATGGGACTCGTAAATTTACATACCTTGTCACTGGTCATCTGCGAAATTATCATATCATTTCGATATAAAAGACACCATAGAGTCTGACACATCTGTTTCATATTTGGATAATTTATTAGAATAAGACATTAATAGCAAACTAAAACAAAACTTTATGATAAACGTGATAATGTCAATTTTTCTATCCTCAACTTCCCTTATTTATGTATCAAAATACATACATTATCATCTGCATATGGAGTGTCTCCCAGTTGATTTGATACACAAGAGCATGTTCTAGGTAAGAATAATTTCTAAAATGAGGCAAACTATCGACAAATAAGCGGGTAGAACAAAGATATCAACAGTCTCGTTTATAGTGAACATTTCGCAAATTCTATGGCCAATATAATGATTTTGTTAGCTAAAACAATTTACCCTGGTAAAATGGAAAGAAGAGTCATTTATATAAAAGGAAAGGGAATCCCTACCCAACCACCACCACCGTCACCACATGAAATTGATTCTTTGGGTTCAGACAAGTTGTTTACGTGTTTGTTTTGTAAAAAAAAAAATTGAATTGGATTTTTATAGTGGATATGGACCGGCCCTTACCTGGAAGAAATTCCTGAATCCTCGCATGAGGATTTTCCTGTAGTCTTTGAAATTCTCAAGGTATTTAACAATTTAAAAAACAACGCAAATAATGACAGTGAGAATTTCTCTTCAAACATTTCGCACTTAACAGACCCGTAGGAAGCAATTTCAAGCCAAAAGAGAATATCTCATGCTATTTGAAACACAACTATTAATTAGTTAAGCTTTGGTTACTACTGTACAGTATATACTGGTAAAATTATTGAGGGGAACAACATTGATTTTTTGTTTAAAAAAAATAAAAAATAAAAACTGTCAACAATACTGGAAGGGTGTTGGGTTACCTGGCAAGGTATTCACATTTCTGCA